TTCTTCTTTGTGAACATTTTCTTCCTTTATATTCAATATGGCACGCAATTCGTCTGACGATATAAATGCTCTAAGCTATTGCTCAGATAATGCTTCTCACCGAAATCACACTACCTTGTCCATTTATCGTCAAATAAATTATGGTCGCGAGTTATCCAATTGACAAAAGGTGTGTTTTCCGAATACACTTCACCAAATCTTAAGTAACATGTACGCGCCCTGAGAAAATTAACACTGAGAAATACGCAAATTAGACTCATACGAATTATAATTCACACATTTGCAACAAAAAAGCCTCATAATGTGATTTTTGAGGCGAAAACACTTTTTGATTTTGGAAACGTTTATTTGGATTTAAATAAAAAAAAACATAAACATCAACCCCGAAGCACTATATATGCATTGAAACTCTTCATTTCTGCTTCTCTTACCTTCTGAATTATTACAAATTTTCGGAGATGAAAGTCAATTTCTATAATCTGATACTACTTTTCAAAGTTTCAGAGGTCTGCCGGAGCACTTATAGTACTAGACGTAGGCTTCAGCTTTGATGTCAATCCTCATTAGTAACACATGGCTTTCGGTTCAACCGAGCCTCTACACTTGAGAATTAAAGCCGGACAGCGTACACTGCGCGCTATGTGGAAAAATCACCTGAAATTGCAGTGACAGTCGATTGTTCGTTGGCTGGTAAAACAATATAAAAACGCCTTTCTATTCAAAATTTTTGCTCAAGATTCAAAACAATTTGATTGCATATTTCAAACCTTTTGGAGGCCGACATGGCGATGCCTTATTATATCGGAGTTCTGTTGAATCGAAAGGCATGTGTTAGTGATGAGACCTTACATGAACACCGAACATACGCCTAGCACTATAAGTGCCATAAAACCTCAGAAAGATTGAAAGACTGCGATCAGATTATAGTGGTTTTTAAACAAGGCCATAAAGGACAGTTGAAAAAGTCATTCTTTGCTAATTGAATGTAAAAATGTGCCACTGAAATTTTTCTGCACTAAAGCGTCAGATCAAAAGATCATGCCCACAGCAGATAAGAAATTCATATTTTCAGCAAACAATACAAAATTTGCAGCCAATGAAGAGCCTGTTACAGTTGTTCAGGACCAAATATCAGTACGTGGCTATAAGAGCTAACAATTTTACTCGAATAACAAGCAAAAAAAAACAGTTTATGATTCGCTAATATCTTGATAAGCAGAGAAGAGATTGATAAGAGATATATTTATACAACACCTGATGACAGAATTTTGACCTTATGTCTGCTTATGAAGAAATTAGCGAGCTATTTAGTCGATGCCGAAAAGAAAATCTCGCAATGAATTCATTCTCTTGACTGACCTGGGCTTCACCTGTGACATTTAATCGCTTAACTTGTGATCCGTCAGCTGAGGAGCTAGTTACTTGTTATCATTCGTTCTGAAATTTTTTAGGTAAAGAAAGTATAATGCTTCCTAGTGGCATGCAGCATACTTTGTGGCTGTGTTTGGCTTGTTGAATACCACGTCGAAGCAAGCGGCGTCGCGTTGAGTCGGCGCGATTGACGTGTGCATGGAACGTGCTATCGTCACTATGTTGTAGTATCATCGAAAAATTCGGAGCTTCATTTTTATCAGAGATATTTGTGGTGACCGACGGCAGAATGCGGTCGAAGAGACTATAGTAAGGCTGGTAAAATGAATCATACCATACTCTTGCCCTTTTATACAGACCTCTATCAGAATAATGATAATGTGATAACAAGATAGCAATGGTAATGTGATAGCGTGATAATAATGATAACCTGATAAGAGGCTCAAGCATCTTAATATTCACATTACGTTTCGTTCAGGGTGATTCCTTAAGACCACGCTCAACTTTCAATATGCCCGATTACCATTTTTTGAGCCACGCATGTTGTCTGTTATACTGCAATCTATATCCTGATACATGTTTTCGGCCTTGGCAGTCCCGCGAGCAGGCTGTTCCGTTCGTCTTTAGCCGAACCTCTCAGGGGAACCCAACCCTTATATGGAGTTCACTAATAGTAGTGGTTTATACCCAATTGTTCTTGGGTGGCATCGTTCAATATATCGCACCTTTCGTTTCGAGACGTTTTCTTAAGAACACGCTCATGATAATCATTTTTTTCAAAGTTGAGCATGGTCTTAGAAAACACTTGAAACGAAAGGTACGATAACGATACAAGACAAGTCGGTGTGAGACACCGCTAATCAGTGATATTTCCACCTGATGGCACGTGTAGAATGTTCGTCGTCGCTAACTATTTCTAGGGGTAGGCTACCCCCGAGAGATTGCCTAAAGACGAAGTCTACTGCCCGATTGGCGAGACTGTAAGGGCCGAAACGAATCTATCGAGCTTCATAAGCTGCCCTGATGACAGACCACATCATGGCTAGAAAAATGGTAATCAGGCAATCACATTGCTATTGTTTTGAACGAGGTCTACATAAGCAGTCCCAAGTAGGGTATAATAAATTCTATCAGACAGAGGCACTCGACTGTGGTCACTGCAGTGACGGGAGATTTTGTTACCTGACTTGCGTGGAACGCAAATGACGCAGTGGTTTGAGTACACTACGTCGCACCCAAGGTTTGTTCAATCTTGCGCTAATGGCTCACTAAACCATCCATCTCTCCGGATTCGGTAAATTTCCACCAGACTGGTGGCGGACTTGTCTGTGAAGAATAACAGCACAGATTCAATGCAACGAGAGGCCACCAGGAGTCATTATAGAAATCAGATATGCATTCAATCACCAGAAACGAAATTAAAAATTGAAGACGATGCGTGGCACATTCCTCGGGACAACTAATGAAATTAAAAGGCCAAACAAACTGCCTTGCATGAAATTCAATTTTTTATCTAATCCACCGTATTAATCATGCTTTTCTATAACGAATTCCATTGTAACTGATGATGACACACCACTCCGACACAAAAGTTTGAAACCTAATAAACCTTGATTACTGAGTTGTTAGAAAATTCAAGAAATAGAAATCCTCACTTTTGATTCCTTTCACTTTGCCATGTTCAGTATATCAAATGACTCCTCAGTTTGAGAAATTGACGAAAGTTTACGAAGTGGTCAAAACTTCGCTAATATAATAAATAATTTTTCATAATACACACATTAATTGCGCTTAAGACTTAATGTCGAACTAAATGGGAAACAAAAAGGAGATATCCCTTCGCGGACGGGGCCATTTTGGCAAGAGGGTGGCTCGGACGGCTACGAAGAAAGGCCGCCGGAAACTGCTTCAAGGCTAATGTGGTAGTTTTGTAATGAAATTTATACTACTCTTGTCAATAAGTGGGATTTAATCTCCACTAAATAGTCAAATATGATAGAACAGACTTCAATAATGTTATTTTTACTAGGGATAACGTCACTGCTCCATCCATATTCCACACATTCGGAAAAAAAATTGAGTTTTCATAAAAAGGTATACTTAGAAGCCTTATCGAAAATTTGTACAATATTTTATTTATGCGCATTTACAATTCATTCAAATTTGTCTTCTGTTTCTTTCAGTTTTCATATACTTTATGGCATGAAGTGCACAAAATTCATCATACTGACTTGAAATTGGAAAACAATGAATAATTTGTTTTAAAAAAAAGTGCTGCTTATTTCATTCAATTACACTTCATCAATAATTCTAAATATTTTCTTAATTACTGGCGCAGTTCAAATTTCCATATCTCAGATCAACTCGTAATTTTCTTCGATTTCTTTATTCATAGCTATGTTTCGTAAAGAAAACTTGGAGGCATAGCTGTCTCTTCCCGATATCCACCCTGCTTGATCTCTTGGTAAAGACGTATTTATATTAGATCCTTTTTTATTATTTAAGTTCTGTGTGTTAGGTGAAAATCTCGCTTGACATATAGTGTAAAACGTTCGTCTTCGATATCTCTCTGCAGGAGAGCAGGCTCCGAGAGAACTGATAAAAAGACTGAGAACTGACTTTTGATATAAAGAGATTGAAAGACGACGGGTTCTGACCGACCGACGAGTCTGTAAGGACGAAGCACGTGTATTGAGCTGCAGAAAGAGCCCGTTCCAGACCACATGACGTGTATTTTTTTTACTCTCGTAGAACGTTTTGGTAGTAATTCACAGCTAAAGTAAGTGAATTTGAATCATATATTTTATTCCTCAAATAGCCACCTTCTTCGCTGAGACAGTCGGAAAACAATTTTGTTTCACATTCAAGCATTTCTCGTCGGATAAAAGTTTTTTTAACGCACTCAATGATTATTACATAGGGCAAATCTAAACAATTCCAGCATTGTACATGGTTATCAAAAAAGGACTTCTTGGAATGCCGAAACACTGTAGAAAACATTAGATTTCGGAAATTTGGATCATTTTCGATGTCCGTTTCTTGTTTGATCTCGCGAGAAAAACTAGTTATCTTCAGAATTTCAAAAGCCATTTGATAATTAAGTTCTTGAAATATAGATGATAAACTTCATTTTTATAATGGCTGCCTTGATATACTCAAACAATGAAAGTTAAGATATCTTTAACACTCAAGCGTTTTTCACTAAGGAAAGCAATTCGACTGGACTCCCAATAATTCTTCAGTATCTCAAATCTCGACGACTTCTATAATCACTTTGTTTCTGAAAAAACTCCTAATTGCACTGTAGCTGCCGAAAAAGATTACGTCAGTTAGTTGATGTGCTGCTAAAAACACGGTGACTTGGGGCCAAAGTCGCGAAAGTCCAATTTTCTTTTGCTGTCACAGCTCTCTGAGGAGTGCCCTTTGAAAATAAACTACGTCTTTGAAATTGCTGAGATTTGACCATCAAATGATTGTTAAATGTCTACAGATCAAATTTATCGGACGAAACATCCTTAGATGGGAACAAAATTTACTTCTACTGCTACAGCACAGAGAAGAATCCATTTGATAAACGAGGTACACCGTTCAGATCCAAGTGATTTCAAAATGTAATAAAATCAAAATGTCCCTCGGTGGTGTAGCGGTAGCACACGTCCCCTGTATTAATGAAACGCAGGTTCGACGCCTGTCTGGGGTCGTGCTTTTGCTCACCATTCAATTCTCTTAGGTGTATTACAAACATCGTTTCACTGATAAAAGTGCAGTCAAAACATTAGAATTTATAAGTATTAGATATCACAATGCCTATCTAGAGCCTCCATAACCTCTGTAGAGGCTCTGGATAACCAGGGCGTCCCTATTCTACAAAAATATCAATATCGACATTAGAAGAGGGGCTCGATAAGGCGATAAATTTACGCCAAAATCATTCACTGCCACCCTCCAAGACGCCATGCAAACATTAGAATTGGATGATAAGGGAGTGAAAATTGACAGTCGACAATCAAACCATCTTCGCTTTGCTTATGATATTGTCCTCATATCACCAAGATCAGCCAAGCGGAACGAATGTTGACCTATTTCGACAACGTTTGTGGAGAGATTGGTCTTTAAAAAAATCTAATGAAAATAATGTTTATGACGAACGGATGGGTTTTGAATGCCCCAATCACGCTCAACGGATCGAAACTCACTAAATGCTCCGAACGCCTATCTAGGTCATGAAATCAACATAAAGAACGACCTAGCTTCAGAGTTGAGCAAGAGGAAACGAGCGGCTTGGGGAACGTTTAAGAACATCGAAGATACAGTGAAGAGGACAAAGAACTTCCGACACCGTGCCCACCTTCCGACTTGACGATTTTCCCTGTCCTAACGTGTGGAGCAGAAATCTGGTTGCTACGGAAGCAGAATAAAAGTTCACTTGGCGTTTTTGAACGCGCAGTCGAAAGGTCGGTGCTACGAATATCACGTATCTGCAAATGAGAGAAAGGATCCGAAGTTTCGACCGACGTCAACGATTGAAGATCAGAGATGCTGCTCTACATGCAAAGATAGAGAAAATAACTGGCCGGACTCGTGATGAGCTTCAACGATATCTGATGGACGAGAGCCGTTACCGATTGGATTCCTCGGTACATCAATCGTTCTACAGGAAGAAAACCAAAGCAGTGGCCCGATTTCTTCACGAAAGGCATAGAAGAAAGATATGATGCTCAACGGATTGACAGAGCGCGGACTGGGCTACTCTTGCACGCGATAGGGAAAAATGGAAATGTTGCTGGCACCGGCTCGAGTCAATCGACGATCAGCGGGGCGACAGGTGATGCAAGGGAATGGTGTACACCCTACCAAGCCTGCTAAATGTAGATGTCTGGTAGCTAACATAGACATGTTAAAAAATGAGTTGTGGTGCAAATCACCGCGGTGGTGCAGTGGTAGCACGCGTCATCGGTGTGGATGAAACGCGGATTCGACTCCCGTCGCGAATATTTCGCATTCTTCTCACCCTCTTAGGTGTAGTGGAAACATCGTTCCCCTGTGAACAATGCAATCAAATAAATTAGGAATTTTAAACAAATAGTTAAGTTATTAAGAAGTTCATGGCGCTGATCAATTCGTGGGGGAAACGCCATTCATTTGACTCCATTCGTAGCAGGATTAGAGATGACTGAATGCATTCGTCCGTGGTCAAAGCTCGCTGTGGCCTATCGATGTATCAAATAGTGCCGTTATCCATTCATGCAAGTTCTGAACCAATTCACAGACTCCGGAGAGTGGATGGTTTAGCGAACCTAGGAGGGCGGGATTGAACCATCGATCATCAACCGATCGACCACTGTGTGTCGTAGCATATCTCTATTCACTGCCCCATCGCTCTCATGGGTTGCTTAAAAAAAATAATATTTCCAAAGGGCTGAAAGTTTACGAACAAACCTGTTCACTGTCATGGAGCTCATTAGACTAATGAGGGCTGCCATTCCACTCATCTGACCGCTGGTAAACCGATTCGCTGTCGCCTGCCACCATTGCATCTTGTAGAGAAGTTGCGTCTCTTCTAGCCTCTTCAGAATTGTCCGGCCTAAAGAGTTCATTGTACAACCACTCAATCTATTCGCCGCTCACAATTTGTTCTTCTGCATGAACAAAATTGGGCCAAAAACACGTACTGAAAACAAAGGCATCAAGGTAGAACCGAATATTTTATTAGCGTGTCGATCCGTAAGATGTGATACTAAAGCAATAAAATTCAAATTCCATAACCAGAAGTTTATTAGAATTGCATATTTTCCTGCAAGCATTTGGGTACACGGCCTGTCTATAATTGCTCCAAGATGGAGCTGCTGTGAAAACAAGTTCGTCTTCTACTCATGCACAAATGAGGCGTAAGAGACAATGTTAGTGAAGCGGCGTGTAAGATTGATAGCGCTTTTTATGGACGGCCCGAGAGCGACTGGCCATTGAGGACCGTCCTTACTACAGCCGTATCATCGCCCCAAGCTTCATAATTTTGTGAGCCGCTTCAATAGCAGTTTCCTTCATGCGCAATTCGTGTTTCTGTAGAAAGCGAATTTTTCGCCACGAGAGCTTCATCTCAAAGCAAGTGTAGGCAAATTCTATATCAAAATGTTCGGAAGAAAGTGCGAAATTGAGAAATACCAAAATCATGCAATTTTAATTAATAAGATACCAATATCATGCAATGTTGATGAATTTGATGTTTACTTTTCGGTTCCAGAACCTATGAATCCACATAATGTGATGCTCTCGCCGCCGATCGCTCATATATGACTAAAATTAGAAAGAAGTCAGACGTCTATCTTGATTAAAACCTGCTGTGGCAATGGAATGTTGTAAATACAACTTTATCAAAACTTATGAACGATAATGAAACTTGAGGGAAGGAAAGAAGAAATAGGTCTTATCAAACTAGGTTTATTTACTCTGTCCCATTGGATACGGAGTGCACTTCTTTGAAGGCACAATGTTTCCCTAGTTTCATCATCGATTATACATCATTTATCGAAGTTTTGGTGACTATTCAACAAATTGAAAATGATGATTTCAGCAATGTACCTCGTTATAGGGATCTAGGTAAATTTTCTTATTATTTCTAATGGTCATTCGATAGCTCCAATCTCAGCGAATTTGACACGCTGTTTAGTTTTCAAGAAGATATAGTGATGTAAATTTGAAAAAAAAACAATTTCTCAACTTTGGAGTCTCTTTTTTGCAAAAATGATATATATATATATATATATATATATATATGCACCAAAGTGCAAGAGTTGCTGGTACCCGCTCGAGTCACTCGACGATCAACGGGACGACATGTGATACAGGTGATATATGCATCAAAAGCATATGGGCATAAAGAGAATATCGTACATTATCACACGAACACATAAAAATACAGATGTCTTTAAAATGGAGGAAAAACTCTGATTAAGAAGCAGAAATTGTGCTCTGCGCATCTCTGTGCGCGTCGTATCAACTGCCGCCCCCAAAGGGTGTACCATTTTCTCTTATTTTTCTTTGATAGTTTCCGATAGAACTATAATTACAATTCTTAAGAACGTCTGAAGCCTTACCAAAATTATTACTCCGGAGCCATGCATGTGTTACGGAGTTCTCGCCTTCGCCGTCAGTGGTCCACGCCCCACATTAAGCCCTGCATTGTAAAAAGCCTTTAAACATTTTTGAGAGTTATATTGATTGTTTATTGTGGGGTTGAAAAACAATCGATGTTATGGATTAGTTTATATTTACAATATTTTGTTGTGGAATTAACAACATCCAATTTGAAAAGGGAAATTCATGAAGAAAAAAAAACTCCTCTTAGAAGGAACTGGAGTCGAAATAATGCGAAGAATTGGTTCCAGCCGAAAGTAAGGACTTTAGGAATTCAGACTATCCCTGAGTGTATGCATATAATTGAGGACATATTGAAAGAGGGTGAAAAGCTGGTGGAAGGAATCAGAGAGAAATTAAAGTGTGGCAAACGTTAACGAAATCCACACTCGATGGGACCACTGGCGGGAAAATTAGCCGCGGAGCTATCAATTGGCTGTGGGTCACGCCCTTGATCGTGTGGTAATAAAATATCATTTTTTCTCAAAAATTAAAGAAAATTTTTCGGCCACTGGAGCACTGTAGAAGTTGGAAGAATCATGGAAGAATGGACGAGACTTCTGTAGTCTTCAGTTCTTGGTGTTTATTGGTGTCTGGTCTTGGTGCTCAATTACCAAACGAAATTAAATATATGAAAATAGAGAAAACTTGTCTTGATTAGCTGACGCGAGGTTGCTAAATTAGTCGTAGAAATTCGGCTGACCTTTCGGCGACCCGCCTTCTTCGGAGCCTGGGCGTATGTAGTATTAGTCTATCTGAAGTATTCGGATGGTCTTATTTATTGCTGCCTAATTCAGGTTGAAACATGAAACAAAGAAAGGAAGTGAGATCTCGGGTGATGGTGACGCATTCGTCCTTCTGGTTCATCTCGGGGTTTTGGCGTTTATCCAAAATGCCTCAAGAGTCTTGCGCGTGGATGTTTTTGATTCCTGCGCTAGGATTGTGACAGTCACATCAAAATCGTTGTTGCTGTGCTTTTGTGCCCTATGTAAACCTAAAGGTTTGTTTTTGTCTATTTTAGATTTACTATCTAGATGTTCTTTTATGCGGATGAAAAGTGGTCTACCCGTTTCGCCTATATATTCTTGCCCGCATGTTTTAGATGTTAGTAAATAAATTGTGCCCGATTTCATACAATCTCCCTCTTTTCCGCTAGGGCAGATCATACAGTTTTTGGCGTTGCCCAATCGATCATAGTCTTTTGCAGATTAGCTGATGGCGTAGGGTGGGAGGTGGGATCTCGATAACTACCACGGAATTTACAAGAAATCATCTTTATAGGCACCTCTTAACCGCGTTACTGATTTCGTTCGATATAAATGGCAGTTTGAAGGGAACTCTATTCAGGTGCGGAGTATTGTTCTTTAATGACCTATTTCCGCTTTTTGAATATTTCTGAGTGGCAAATGTTTTGTAGCTTGGAAATGGTAATTTTTCGTGCCAAGTTTAACGATTTGTTCCTTTCCTCTTCTTCTGCGCACACATTTTTGGCCGTTCGAAACATGTTCTCGATTAGGGATTTTTTTATGTGTGAGGGATGAGAGGAAAGATGATTGACCAAAATGTTTTTGTTACTTGGTCTTCGATACCACTCTGTACTATAGCCACTATCCAAAAGCTTTACTTGGATGTATAAGAATGGAAGCAAGCTCCCGTTTGGACTTTGTCGCGTAAATTTTATATGCTCTGGCTGTCCGTTCAAGACTTCAAAACATTTGTCCATTTCCTCTTATGTGGAACAGACAATGAAGCAATTGTCTATATACCGGCAGTAGAGCAATGGGCGGTGAACGAGAACTGGAGCTTCCACCTTATACATAAAGGCGATGGCAAGAATGGGTGCTAAACGTTGACCCATAGCTAACCCCTGAGTTGTGTGAAGTATTTTCCCGACCACCGAAAGATAGAAAACTGAGACATTGTTTTAAGAGGGTCATTAGTTGGTGAATTGTGAAGCCATGCATATTTACTTTTTTTAGTTTGTTTATTTGTTTATTTATAGTTAAAAGTTCGAATATGGCTTGCATAGCAGAGCCATTTGATGCGTTATAGAGTGAGGTAACATGAAATAACTCCAATATGTGCGAGTTGTTTGGTTTCGCAGAACGTAGGTGATCTAGAAACATTTGGTTATAGGGTAGATGGGTTGGTACGAATTTGAGCACCTGAGTAAAAATAAGGTTTAGAAACCACGTTATTCTATCCGTTGGTCCTCCTATACAACTGATGATAGGTCTAAACTTGTACGTTGATGGATTGGCTGACACTAGATCATCAATAGATGTAAGTTTATGTGTTTTTATGAGAAGGTATAGGACCGGACAAATAGGATTATTGTTCTTGAGCCGAGAGATAACTGTGGTTTCCAAACGCTCTGAACTTGCCGTGTTGACCCATTCTTTGTTTAAATTTTTACATTGGAGTTTATATTCATTCTCAGAGGATGGGTGATAGAGGAAACATCCTAGAGATGTTTTCTCCGTTGATTCGACATCCAGCTGATTTGGAGTTACTACAAATTCCCAAATTCCCCACCTTTATAAAAAAAAAACCAAATAACGAACTCCACCCCATGTGCATTGTGCTGTCGCATAGGTTTACATAGGGCACAAAAGCACAGCAACAACGATTTTGATGTGACTGTCACAATCCTAGCGCAGGAATCAAAATCATACACGCGCAAAACTTTGAGGCATTTTGGATAAACGCCAAAAAACCTCGAAATGAATCAGAAGGACGAATGCGTCACCATCACACGAGATCTCGCTCCCTTTCTTTGTTTCATGTTTCAACCTGACCTAGGCAGCATATAAATAAGACCATCCGAATCCTTCAGATAGACTAATATTACATACGCCCA